AACACCTGGGCTCTGGAAAGATAGAAACAAAAGAGAGACAGAAAAAGGACAGCTGGCTTAGATTGCTTATATCAAAAAACAGAAGAGCTCTTTCAGAAGACCATTGCTCATCCTGTGGTGTGGATATGTAAGAACGTTAATGTTACCATCTGGCTGGGTTCATCCCTTGATGCAGAGAGAATTACAAGGTAGAGCGTCAAAAGGGGACTGAGCAAAAGTATTTATTGTGGAGCAAAAGCAGACGGTAGCATTGATTATAAAATAAAAGCAAACAGCCCCCAGGAAAATGAGCCTGGGAAGGGAACCATGAAGGACTCTTCATCTAGGGGTTTTTAATACACAAAAATGGCTTCCTTTCAGCTAACTTGGGATCAGCCTATGGGGTTACAAGCAGAAGAGTTTTACTTAGAAGTGGGCCTATAAGAACTCAGGGTATGTAGTAAGCATACTTTTGCAAGCACCATTAATTTGAACTTTAAGCAGAATGAAGATATCCTTTAGAGAGGTGTGAATATTGGTGCAAGAAAATTCTACCAATCTAATGAAGCCTTTGTTTGTTGAGGCTTTGGTGCCCTGACCTTGTCCATTGGGTCAGGGTGTCCTTCACTGAGTCCCTCTTTGGCTAGTCCTGTCCCTGGCTGCCTGGAACTCCTGGTGCCAGGACCCTGCCCATGATTTCCTCCCCGCCTGGGCCAGTGTTAATTCTGAGAAATCTTCTCATCCTCCCACAGGGCCTGGCTCCTCCTCAACATTTTCTAATACACATCATGTTTTACCAAAATGGATTGATCAGATTACTCTTGAGAACTTGTGGTTAGATTAGAAAAGGAGACGTAGGCCAATCATGCCAAGATGCAGGGCTCCCGATTCATTAACACAAAAAATTTTACCTCGGTACATTGTTATAATTGGTAAATATATGCAAACATCTGCCAGTGCAAAATTAAGTTGAATTAAGTTTGAAAGGATGACACATGTTGATAACTTAAGGCAAACCAAGGTTCTGCTTATAGTAAAAAAAAAAATAGAACTTTCCATGAATTAAAGCCAGTAATTAGTAAAAATGATAATGCCATAGCAAAGATGAATATCAAAATTGCTCGTACTTGATGTGCCAATGACTGACCAATTCTAGGAATTTTTCTTCTATTCAAAGCATTGAATCCTTGTTTATCTTTAATGCTTGTTTTTACTCTTACTGCTTTTTTGTTATGTACATAACAACACCCAGCTAGTGATGCTTACTTCCTTACCATAAAACACATATTATTAAATGCACTATGTTAGAATTTGCACCCTGCCTTTTATATGTTGTGTCATTTCTACCGCATCATAAGTTCACTGATATCCTCAATTTTACAGTTGAAAAACTACTCCCAAACAAACAATACCAAAACACTAAAGCTTAGAGCTCTAACTAAATTTCTTAAGGTAAAACACCCAGCACATGACAGTGGGAGGGTTTCTCCTCCATATATTTTATATGTAGTATCCCCATGAAACTTTGTGTTCATTATTCACTTATTCTGCAAACTTGTACTGGCACTAAATTATGTTAGGCCCTGGGGATATAAGTGAATGGCTTAATAAACTCAACATCCAATAAGGGAACAGGCAGAAAAAAATCTATTAAATTACAAATTCTAAGTGGTGGAATTCAGCAACACATACATCAAAAACTTCCCAAGTGAGGTTGATATACACAAGGTTTCACAATGTTGGGTAACTACAATAATGAAGGAAATCCCCAAGAAATTTTACAGGAACGTCTTCCAGGCATACAGTACTCCTACTGAATTTTACTGCTTTGTTTTCTGCCCCACCTCATGACTACATTTTGGGAAATGAAAGATAATTGGACAACCTAGCTATTCAAAACCCACATTTTGGCTTAAGGAATTGAAAAACAGAGCCATACTGTGGTGTAGCCATGACAGTCACTGTGGCAATAACTACTACACAGTTCCAATTTCTGGCTTCCATCCCTTTGCCTCTCCACATTGGCCAGTCTCGGTGCTATCATTACTACATTGTATGTAAGTACAATAATACCAGTTGGGAAAAAGTACTTCCCACTGCTCACAGCCAGTGTCATGGAAAACATACATGTGCTCCATCCTACATTTTCTTCAAAACTTCCTCCGTCCTTTTGCACTTAGATTCTTATTTTTCCATTTACATTCCCGGACAAGGCCTGAATATGTTATCATGCTGTCATTATTTTATTATCAAAACCATTTTGGCATTATTAATTTATATACCAACCACTTAAAGATATATTACAAAATATGATTTTCAGATACAATTGTCCTCTGGGACAACTGTTGGAATCCTTTTGCTAGGTTATAGGACAAGAGCAAATTACAAGGCACTGTTCAGAGTATTCCTATATGCCGGGCATGTTGCACACTTCTTATCCCAGCTACTCAAGAGGTGCAGGTAGAAAAACTACAAATTCAGTCCTGGGCAAGAGAGGCAGCATGGTGAGATCCCGCCTTAAGAAAACATATTCCTAAAAGTCTTCTAATTGCTACTACCGGTGGCAACACTGACAAGAAGACTCTGGAGTACTTTTTACTTTATATGGTACATTTATATACAGTTTCTCATTTGATTGTCACATCTGCAATTATAGGAAGCCAAATGTTCTGAGAGAAAAAGGTAACTTGCCCTAAGGCAAATTGTTAGTAAGTTCTCAAACTGCAATTTGATCCTGGATTTTCTCTTGTTAAATTTATAGCCAACACGTTACATTATACACCTGAGGCAATCAAAATGTATTTTCATAGTGAATGTGGTATTGATTGGTATTCTTTAGAGAGACTTGATGCTTTTTTCTCAAATGAAAACGCAAATGAGTGGTAAAAATTTGTTCCATAAAGAGTGGACTTCATTTTAAATGACTAAAATTGCTTAGTAAAACTACCTAAGAAAAATCAAAAGTTACCGTGCACTGGTGGATTCATTATTATCTCAGGAGTAGTTCTGGCATTGTATTTTTAATAATTTTAAATGCATTAATTTTGTTGTCATGTTAAATTATTGAAGATTTATGGATACTGACTCGTATTTCATTGGTTTCCACATTTCCATACAGATAAAGGTGTAATTGCATTAATTTTCTATGGTCTTCTTTCACAGATGATATAGCACTTCACTTAGAAATATCCTTGTATTTCTGATATCTAGTCATATCATAATAAAGCTATTTTATTGCAGATAAAGAATCATTTTAATTAATTAAAAAGTAAAACAAAAATTAATGGAAAAAGATGGACCTGGCTTGTAGGAAATAATAAGCATAACTGTTTTTTGTAAACAACTAGGTATATATTGTTATATATGTAAATATTTCAAAATATTATATTCATTGAGATAAAAATGTGATTAATGTTAACTTTTAAAATTTATTATACTAAAAGACACATTGGTATTCTTGCTCAGAATACTCCCCTTCACTTTAAATAGACTCATCTCATCATTCTTGACACATTCTGAAGCAGTTTTTGAAGTCCTTTTTCAAGAATGTCTCTATTTGCACTGTTGTGCTGGCCTCCATGTACTGAATTTATTCAAAATGTTTACCTTTCATGATTGTTTTGACTTTGTGGAAGATCCAGACCTCCCATGATGCCAGATCCAAGGTGTATGAGGACACACTGTAATATTTTTATAAGCCTGCCTTTCTTAGTTACATTTCTCATTGCTGAAACAAAATACCTAACACCCAAAGTTAAAAGGAGGAAAGGTTTATTTCTGCTCACAGTTTGTAGAGGTTCAGTCCATAATGAAGCAATGTGGCATGGCAGAGGGGCATCACAGAGGAAAAAGTACTTATGGCAGGCAGAAGACAGCAAAAGCAGCAAGTGACCAGTGGCAATCGCAGGTTCTTTCTGTCCCTTTATATTCTATGTAGGCTACCTGCCCTGATGGTGGGTAGCACTCAAACCCAGAACAATGCCACACCAATCAGTGGATTTAGTAATCACACATCCTTAATCTCAGCATCACACGCTCTAGAGCCAGCTACCTCTGAAAAAGGTCTACCTATCACTGCATGAGGCTTTGGGGGGACATCTAGACAGAAACCATGCCACTGTCTTTCCCTTAAACAGCACTTAACCCAATGCTTCATTTGACTGTGGTATTTAAAGAGAGGCAGGAAGTGGTTTGGAGTAGATAATTCAGATGGGACTAATGAGTGAATACTCTTGTCTTCAAGAAAAAAAATAAGGGTACCAGAGAAGACACACGTAAGCTTGTGCAGTCCCTATTCCTTACCACCTGATGTCCTGAGCCAACTTGGAATTTGGAATTCTGCCAGCAACGAGGTCGTCACCAGATGGTCCCTTCACTGTGGACTAGAACCATGAGAGAAAAAAAAATTATTTTCCTTGCAACCTATTTCACCTATGGCACTGTGTCATTAACAATAGAAAATGAACTAAGGAGGAATTCCAGCCCGAAGGAAAGAAATAAATAACCCAGAAGCCCGTTCACAGAGACCATTTTAGCTAATTTATATAAAAATGATGTAAATTTAAAAACATGATAGGTTAGGTTGCACGGAACATCAGCTGCAACTCAGCTCTATCTATTCATTTACGTATTGCTTGTGGCTGTTTTCCCTCTATGGTGGCACAGTAGAATAATTCTGACCAAGCTTCACACAGTCACTATAGAAAGATTTGCTGACAATTGGACCGGACTATATTGAAAAGTCTCTGCAGCTTCAAATATTTTGGATTAAAATATTTTTAAAATACCAACTCATTATCTTGCCCAGGAGCTTCTCACTCCTGTTCTTACTTGAACTTTCAAATGATCAATCAATATTCCAGTTTTGCAGTCTATTTGTCAATTTCATAAGAAACACCACAGACATTATTTTTCCTAAAGCTGAAGTGATGTTGTCAGTCTCCCTAAATAAATCAGTAGCTACTTCATTTTCATGTCAAACCTGAAATGAAAATGGAAAGAGAAGGCAAAAATAGTGCATCGAATGGAAAGTGTAATATTTAATTGAAGCAACACGGGTGTTTTATGTTGAAATGTAATTATCTAATGGATTTCAGCTGATGGCACGTGTCCAGTCTCGGTCGTCCTGTGGTTGGCTATAGTCATTCTATCTCAACAGGGATTCAGGTCTACAGTTCCACATCTCATCTGCCAAGGGACAGAAATCAGTTAGAAGTAACCCATTTATTTCAGTCACTAAATTTTTAACTTGGCAAGCAATATCCTTAATTATTAATTCAATGTTTCAACTAGCAGTTACTCGTTCCTACAAGGAACCTCAGAATTATCAGAAGGCAACTAAAAGCTCTCAGAAATCATTATGCTTTCCTTCCCCAGGAACAGTTCAGATTGTTTTGCTACATGATGAATAAAATTTTATAAAGATCTTCATTACATTGCTAGATCAAGAATATTAAAATACAAATTACTGTCCCTCATATGTATTTTAAAAATAATTTTAAATATTATGAACATTCTAACTCAAAATAAAAAAGGGTGTATGTTCTTTTTAAAGTGTTTTTTTGTATTAAATATATTTAAAATGTTTCTTTTATGAAGACCCTTTTGTAGATGATTGAAATCACAAGTCGTTTAAATTCAACTGTACTATACATGTCATGAGGAAGGCCCTGAGGATACAGTAAAAAAATAATGGCCATAGAGTTTCAAATAGAAAGTTGATTTTCAAATATAAAGCACAGGATAGAAATTTAGAGAATTAAAATAGATTTTGTGTTTATATTGAAAAGTGCAGTATTTGATCATCTTTTCTAATTTTATACATCACGTTTGCTGTTTATACGTTAATGAACTGCATCAAGATGTGTATGATGAGTCCTTAGACTATTTCACATACCATTATTTTGCATTCAGAACTATTTCCTTATTTAATACTGGCTTCAGCCATGTGAGTTAGAGGGATGCTTGATTTTGTTTGTTTGCCTGTGTGTTTCCATTAGTTGAAAATACTAACTAAAATTCACAGAGATAAACCATACAATAAAAATAGAGCAAAAATACGTCAGCCCATTAGGTTTTAACCTCAAATCTCCTGGTTTTTGAAGTTTGAATATCATAGAGACAAAAATATTCCACCGAGCAAAATTTATATTGATGCTGGCCCTGATGTGCTGACATTTATATATTCATAACAAAGCAGGCTAAATGTTGTTTTAAAGATTTTTTTTCAAAAAAATCCTTTTCAGTGTATTCTGAGAACACTTCAAAACAAAGGTCAGCTATCACCAGAAAAGAGAACTGTACAGTTTGGTCTAAGGAAAGACAAAGCTTAGAAGAAAATATTGGTTACCAGCACAGTCCAATGGCAGTTATGGTCATTGTTGTTTAAATCAGATAGTTCTCAAATGTGCACCTCCTCTGCTGCCTTGCTGAGGTCAAGGTGATAGCACCAGTGGGTTTTTTCTCTCCTGCAGTATTTAGGAAGGAGCCTCCCAGATACTGACTACTTGTGCCCTCTGTAATAAGTGACCTGGAGGTATCAGCCTGCCACATTAATACCTCAGTTCGTGGAGATGATGGGGCTTCACGGCTGTGCCCGGTCAGACGGATCGGGCTTTCCTAGCAGCGCAGATCATCTGCGCTCACACTGCGGCTTTTGTTGGTGCTGTGGAAGTTACCCCAGCCAGCTCCAAAGCAGCACGATGTTGACATGGTTTTTAGCTCCTACTGCTGAAAAGAGCACATTCAGAGCCTTGTCAGTTTGCAGCGGCAGTTAAAAGAACTCTTAGCTCAGATTCCTTTATGGAAAGCTATTGGCAGGAAGTAGCCAGTGCGGAGTGCCACAACCAGATACATGTTAAAAATGGCTTGTGCTTTCAGAAATACCACACATTCTAGAATAGTTGCCCTGTAAAGCAGATACCTATTACAGGTATAATTTCCTCCTGTGAAATTCCTTTACAGAAGCAGTTAGGTTTTCAGTTAGCAAATTCAAAGTTGGAGTTGAATGCATTTAAGGAAGAAAAAGTTAACAAGTTATAATTGATCAGACAGTATGCTTGATATTTCTGTGGTAAAAAAGACTATAAATTTGAGAAAAATTCTGTGCTTCTGTTAAGTTGATTCTCACTCTTTTCCCTTAAAAATTACTCTAAGAATGTACTATTCGCTTTTTCCACAGGAAATTACCTTTCATTGTCAATTACTTCATATATGATTTCTAGGTAATAAGTCTGTGCTAAATTCATTAAAGCATGCTGTATAAAAACTGTTTTAATATTCCCTACAGATGTGTATATACCTATGACCACTTAGTATGTTTTGAACCTTCCTTCTGTATTACAGGAATTTAATATATTAGGGATCTTGCCTACCCACTATAGATGCTCGGATTTCTTTTTATAAATTCTTTCAATCAGATTTTTTTCTTTTTTTCCGGTACCGGGAATTGAACTCAAACCTTGCTCTTGCCAGGCGGGCGCTGTGCTGCTGAGCTAAATCCCTAGCCTCTTTCAATCAGATTTTACACAACTGATCAAAGTTTTGTTACTCAGATAAACAAAAATGGGAGTCACATTAAGGAGAGAGTGATGTAAGATGATGTCTTGCAGAACTTATTTTGGGAGATACCCAAGTAACATGAAGAGATATCTGACTGTCAGAGCATTCTGTGCCCAAAGGTGGCAATGGGATCCCCGGGATTTGTACTTGGAGGTGGTTGCAGCAATTTCTCCAGTAGAACAGGCTGCAAAATAATCTAGGTATTGGAAACTTACCCATAGTCTTCTAGTCCTAACAAGTCTTGGCCCTTCAGAGAGCCTCAGTCAGCTACTTCTCACTGAGAATTAATGTATATTTTGGGGGAGGAATACCATAGCTAAAATGAGTCCTTTTGGAAAATTTTCACTAGTCTTTCAGTAACTGACTGCCAAACATTTAAATACTGCCTTTGTGCTTTTACTTTGATAATCTCATGTAACTTTTAGTAGAGAGAAATAGATGTGTTCCTTTAGATGCCAATAATTATTCTCTGTTCTCTTTAACTTTATCTCATGTAGCTAGTCATTGCATATTGAAAAGTTTATCTTAATGCCTCAAGATTATAAACGAGTGATGTCTGAGCAGACTATGTTGTGTCTTTCATGCCCATTCTAGTACCTTTCATATGATGAAGACCAGATGAATATTAATATAAAAAACGGACCTATTCAAACCTTGTGATATAAATTCTGTCTCAACCACTTGAAGGCAAAGTAGCATCATGTTTACCATGATGAGAAAATGTAAACTTAAAACATAATGACTTAGAGGTGACTTGAAAGAGAAAATAGACGATTACATGAAAAGGAACAAGGTAGATAGTAGGGCAGAGGAAAAATAGTAAAAATGTACTTATGATTGATAGATTTTTCTTTATTTCTGGACAAAAAAGGAACTTTATATCATATGTAATTAAAAATAAATATTGTCAATTAAGTCAGTACAATAAACTAAAGATAAAATTATAAAATTTAATAACACTGTCCAGGGTATTGTTTCCTTATTTTAAAAATAGTGTGGGAAACGCCATCACACAGGACAAAGTGATAAATCGAGTTGCCAGCATGATAAAACATCATTAGTGTATTGTCTCATTTGGACTACACTCCTGTTTTCTGGGTAGATAGAAGGCAAATAAAGTTAGTCTTGAGGCAAGAAGTAATAAATGGCTCTAACGGACACAACGATGGTGGTGGGGAGCAAGGATTTAGTTAGGCAACATGAGAATGAGATACATCATTTCCAGAAAATAAAGTTAAAATCTTGTGCTTTTTTGGGCTAGTGCCATAATTTAATCTCTTCCTTTGTTTAATCTGTCCAGTAAAGATGACTTCACTGTCATCTTCACTTCCTGTCATCTTCCAAGTGCCATCAATTACATTTTTTTTTGGTCTGCTCATCTCTACATACATTCATCTGTCCTGAGCAAAATTTAATAAGAATTCTTCAAAGGTGAGAAAAAACTGGGCCAGATGCTACTGTCACATTATTGCCTTACAGTAGGTAAAAGGTCAAGAAAGTATTGTGATGTGCAGGTCTGAATATATTAAAAGTGTAGGACCAAATAATTTTTCATGTTGGATAGATGTTAAAGGTCATTTTCACTGATTTTCTGCTCTCTTAGAAAACTGTTCAGTAGTGTCTCTGAAAGATTACTATCTAGTTTCAGCTTAAATACACTCTGATAATAGGGACTCTATTTCTTTCTAAAGCAATTTGTCTATGATCGAGATTTTACTGATCATTTTGCCTGTTGCAGACTCAATATTATGAAGAGATATGCCAGATATCGCACACTAGACATTGTGGAAGCTTATCTTGAGAATGTTGTTGACACTATATAATGAACTAAAATTAACCTCACTTTCATCATCATTAGTAGGCATATACAATGGTACCTCAGTTCACAAACTTGATTTGTCCTACAATTTTGGAAAAGATGGCCATATATGTGTCTGTGTGGGAGAGATGACCGTGGTCATGTTTGTCATCCAATGCAGTTTGCAAACAAAAATAAAATTTTGCCAACCACTTCTGTTTATGAACCAAGTTGTTTGCAAACAAAAGCATTTGTGAACCAAGGTAGCACTGTATTCATTTGAAATTAATCAATAATGAAGGTGTTTTGAGTTAAATTTAGTTAGTAGATGCGATTGTTTCAGGTTCTATTAGGTTACACATTTTAATCAGAATATCACTGTATTAATATATTAAGGCTTACTAACCTAAAGAGGATATATTGAGATTAATACTAAATGAAATAAACATCATGTTGTCATTTATAACTTTTTAATAAGGTGCTCTAATTGCTAGTTGTATTCCTTAAAGAGAATACTCCTCTATGTGTTAGTCAAAATATAACATATTTTCTTAATTTGAGTTATAAATCCTTCTTGAATTTTAATATTTCTTGCTTTTAGTATTTGTGAAAATGCCACCACTTTGGAAAAAATTTGATATTTTGAGGGTATGGGCTGAGTGTTTCCCAGTGATCCAGGTGTTGGAGGCTTTATGTTCTTTTGCTGGAGTTTAGAGGTGATGATACCTTCAAAAGGAGAAGTTTGGTGGGAGGTTGTTAGGCCACTGAAAATACTGCCTTGGAAGAGACTCAGTTAGTTATTGTAAGACCCCAGTTCTTCTGAAAGTAAGTGGCTGTAAAAGAGTGTGCTGGGCCTCTTCCCCCTCTTTGGCTTCCTAGGTCACTATATGATGTCCGACTCATGTGCATACCTACCAGTGATGTGATTTGCCATGATATGATGTAGCCAAAGGCATCTTTGTAGGAAATGAGCAGGGAGATGTTTGTGTCATGCTTTTGGATCTCCAAAACTACCTATTTTCTGTGTAAGTTATGGGATGTGGTTAAAATATATGATGAATGTTTAAACAAAAATACATTTGTTAAAGTAAAAGACACATTGCTGATCTCCCTTAAAATACATGTCTTTGCTTCAAACAGATTATCCCATCATTCTTGCCACTTTCTGAAGCCGCTTTGGAAGTCTTCTTTCATGAGGGTCTTCACAAGATGTGATAAATAATATGGTGAATGCTGATAACACGTGCTGTCCAACAGAAAGACAGGCTGGTATAAATATTAGGGTGTGCCCCTATCTACCTTATTCACCTGGTGTGGCCGTGTGACTTCTGGCTCTTCCCTAAAGTTGAAACGACCATGAAAGGTAAATGTTTTGAATCAATTTGAGATATAGAGGTGATCATAATTGTGCAAATAAAAATGTTCCAGCACTGCCCCATAAAATGGAGAGAGTGATGAGGTGAGTTTGAAGCAAGGGGTATTAATGGCAATGTGTCTTTTATTGTAGTAAATTAAGACAGGCAGACAGACACACACACAAACACACACTAAATTTTCAGGATGTTTTGCAATCACATCTCATACAAAGCTTTTGGGGATTATTATAACAATGGAAAAATATTAATATGGAAGTTGCACTCAAACTTACCTATACAATAAAAATCATTCGAGGAGACCATAAAACTACTGAGGCTACTGCATCATCACCTTTTCTGATTTAATTAGATTTTGGGAGGACCCAAGCATTGGTACTTTCTAATCTTTCTAAGAGTCCTAATAATACAGAAAGACTATTTTACCAAAACAACCCACAAAAAACAAAAAACAATTTCACTTCTTTTAGTGAGTGTTTACTATGTCAATAACTTTATACAGTTGATACTGGAAAAATAAAATAAATTAATCTAATGCTGAAAAAATAAACTGGGAGGAGGTTGAAGGGGAAGCATATTTGAAATGCGTTATGTGTGTGTACCAATTCCCGACAGTGAATGTAATCATTACGTACTGTAGATATGTACTAATAAAAGTTTAAAAATCTGCAAAAATACATAAAAGAAGTCTTGCTTTCTTTTCCATGTCATATTTTTAGAGTGTCTTTCAAGTGTCAGAGGCATGAAAAGGATCAGAAAACAAACACAGAAGAAAAAGTAGGTCAAACATTTGAACCAATAGGTCAAAAGATAATAGGTAACAATGGCAAATCAACACCTGAAAGACGCTCAATATCATCAACCATAAAGAACAAGAAATTAAAACCATTACATAAAATATTTAATGTTAAAAATAGTTATGAAGCTGACATCACCAGGGAGAAAATACTGAGTGACTGAAACTCTTATGCATTGCTGGTATATTTTAAAGTAGATTGTATACACTCATGTACACATGCAAGTAAACTTAAAGTATCTTTACAGTTTTAAAAAAGTTACTGTT